TTAGGGCCTTATCACTAATAATTTTTCACCAATTCACTATAAGTAGCTATTACCTGAAATCCCCATGCAAACATTCGTTTAATGTTCTATCATACAATGTATTACTTCTACCTGCAAAAACCGATTACTTTTTTCTCTCTCAATAGTTTTTGTCTATTCTATGGCATGAAAGACTTACTTCACTGAACTGAAGAGATGTTTCAGTGTACTTTTAGCAGAACCCCATGATAACACAATGGTGAGAAAATGAAAAATAGAACCTTTTAAGTAATTATGAAACCTTCAGTTAAAAAATTTCACAAAACTAATTCAACTTACTATTCCTTAAAGACAGACTTTAAGGGCAGGCTAACAGTTATGTACACAGCACTAGAATATATCCTTTATGACTACATGAAAAGTAGTATTTCTAGCTGATGATAGCTAGCAATCTGCTACCTTGCTGCAAAAGGACTGGATGGTGTACTTATGTGACTTCCTTCTGTCTATTGTTGGGCAGAGTTTCTGGAAACATCAGTTTTTGGTAGAACAGTTGGTCAGAACAGCTGTATTGAAAAAGAAAAGGGCTTCTCACTAATGAAGCCAATACTAAAATATGTAACTTGATGATCCAAAAATTCTAGTTCAGATTGTATCCTAATAACTATTGTGTCAGCAGTCAAAAGACAACCACTATTATGATTCAACAATTCAATTACTGTTCAGGTAAATGTGAAATGGACTCTACTCATAGGCCATGCTCATAAACAACTTTGTTTTTTTTTTTGTTTTTTTGTTTTTTTTTTTTGTTTTTGAGACAGGGTTTCTCTGTGTAGCCCTGGCTGTCCTGGAACTCACTCTGTAGACCAGTCCGGCCTCTAACTCAGAAATCCGCCTGCCTCTGCCTCCCAAGTGCTGGGATTAAAGATGTGCGCCACCACTGCCTGGCTCCATAAAAAATTTCTAAGATCTAAAAAGTCTCAAAATATTCCATTTGCATTTCTGTAAGCAGACTATTTAGTCCTTGAGACATAATACTCATTTTCAACTACAATAATATTCTTTAAATTGCTTATGGAAGTGTCTGGGGATCCTTGGGGGTTTCCAAGACATGTTTGGTGTCCTTAAAGCTGAAGGAATTATTATGACACTGTTATTTTCCTTTTACCAAGTTAGTTTTTCACAACTATGTAGTGGAATATTCCACACCCTTTTAACATGTAAAAAAAGATCTTTTATTTTTAAGACGAATAAACACTTATTTAATGAGTATGAGGTGTTTTTTTTCTTGCATGTATATATGTACACCATGTACATTCCTGGTGCCTACAAGAGATCATAAGAAGGTGTTGGATCCTCTGACTGGAGTTATGGATGGTGGTGAGCCACCACATGGGTGCTGAGAAACAAACTTACTTCAAGAGAAGTAAGTGCCATATTTTCACGAAGCCATCTTTCCAGCCCTGAATAAACAGGTATTTAAATGACCTTTTATTATTTAAAAAAACTTACTATTATATTTAAAAGCTGAAACTAGTACTTGACATATTAGTTTAAAATATAGTAAATACCACCTCAAGTCATATAAATAAAAGCTTTTTAGAATCCTAAATAATGTAAGAGCATAGCCCTATGAGTATGCACAGTATTTTCATATTTAAAATATTTCAGGCAGTTTTTATACTTGAAATCAGTCAGTACAATTAGTTCCTACGGGATACACTGTAGGTGCAGAGTCAATATATACATATTTAAATACTCAGCATTATATAATATTAGAATTGTTGCTAAAAAACCTATTTCTGTCTGGAGAGATGGCCCAGTGGTTAAGAGTGTTTGCTGATCTTGCCAGAGGAGCAGACTTCAGTTCTGAGCACTCATGTCGAGCATTTCATAATCTCCAGTGACTTCAGCTTTAGGGGATCTGAAACTTTTTGTTGGCCTCAATGGGTGCCTGTATACATGAACACACATATCCACACTATACATATACACACAAAACAAAACCCTATTACATAGGGCTGGGAATGTAGCTCAGTGGCTTGTATAAAGCTCGAGGTTTAGTTTTCAGAACATCTAGACCAAAAACAAACAAAAGCTATTTCATAAAACTTAAGTAATACTTTAAAATACGAATACACACATTGTGTGTAATGTGTGTGTATGTGTGTATGTGTGTGTGTGTGTGCACATGTGTGTGCCTGCCTCAATGAGCAGGTGGAGGTAAGAGGACAGCTTGTAGGAGTTAGTTCTTTTCATCCATTTGTGGGTCCCCAGGATTAAAATCAGGTCTTCAGACCTGGGGTAAATGCCTTTACCTGCTGAGCCATCTCACTGGCCTCTAGAAATACATAATACTGAAATCATCTTCAATCATTTCATTTTTTGGGGGGGGATACACACGGTAATTTTACTTCAATTATAATTAGGAAAAACATTTCAAACTGAAATCTGACTGTAATTTGTATGTTTGAAGATGATGGATGTCAGGAAAACAATCTAATTATGAACTTAAAGGAATGTGTAAAGTTAGATATAGTAATCCTAAGTTATAAAGGATGGCTACAATGGTCTATAGTCTGCACAAGTTAAGCTTGCTGTCTTTTCTCATCAATGTTCTTTATTTCATGTTGTAAGCCATTTCATTTCTTTGTAAACAGTAATTAAGATTACGTGTTACTTTTTGAGCTTGATTATTTTACAGGGCCTCTACCTGAGTATGCTAATTTTGGAGTAATGAATTAAAGTATGCTAATTTTAGAAGGCCAAACTACTAAGTAAACACCCTGTCTCTTCTGGATCAATACACTCATCTGGAAAGCATGTTCTAATTGATTGCTCAGTGTAAACCTCTTGAGAAAGAGGCAACCTGAAGAGATTGAAACACTAATATAGCATCTTCTCTAATGGGAAATGTCCTGCTTGAGTACTAATGTGAATTTTTTGAAGGGGTATTAAATTAGTATCATTAGAAATACTTTTTTTCATGCTTTGTAAAAAAAAATAGGTAAACTTTGGGAAAAAATCTATGAATGTACTTTCATTATCTGAATCTTCAGGCTAAAGCTAAATAATTAAAAAAACCTTTGTTATAATCAAGACCTAACTGATATCTCTGTAATATCACCAGAATTGATATGCTCTTGTATCATCAAAATCTTATTAAATCTTTACATACCAGAAGCATGTAGGTGATATCAAATAGCAGTGGGACTCAATATTAAAGAGGTCCTAAACTAATAGAACTGAAACCCGTCCTTTTTTTCTATGTAGAATAATGCCTATAATTAAACAATGAGAAAACAAAACACTGTTATGTCTTCCAGTAATGAAATACAAAGTTATGTCAATGTAGAAGATCTGCAAACAAATCTGAAGGTACAGACAGGTCAGCAGTTGTATTCAATTTTGTTTAATATTCCTGTGTATTATGGTCCTGGAACAAATAAATTATTTAGTCTTCTCATCGGCTCTATTGAAGCTTTGGGTATGAACAGTCTAAAGTAGTGCTTGACATAATTCCATTGTCTTTTTGAACAACTGTTCCCTACACTTATGCATGTGTGGAGGTCAGAGCACAGCTTTTGAGTGACAGCTCTCCTTCTACCATGTGGGTCTTGAGAATCAATCTCAGGTTGTCAGGCTTGGTAGCAAGTGTCCTTAATCTGCTAAGTCATTTTGCCTTGCTGGCCCATAATTCCATTTTCTAGAGGGGAAGTAAAAACTAAATATACTAAGCAACTAGTATATGATAAACTACAGAAATGATAAATAGTATAGAGAAAGGTTAGGAATCAAACTAAGAGGTTATTGACTATTATTAATGTGACTATGGTAACATATAGTGATACAATCAATCATTTCATGTTTCCATTTGCTTGGCTATTATTGAAAAGCTGTGAGGAAAATGATTTCCAGAATGAGCAGCAGGCATGAGTAAGTTCTTTCCTGTGTGAGTAATGCATTGCTTAGGGAAGGACATAGGATAAAAGAGGAAAGCAAGAACAATATGAAAATAAGCTAGAAAAAAAACCACGAGCTAGAGATATCATAGATAGATACAGGTATCAGAGGAATGCTATGTGTTAAAAGCTATCAGAGAAGGCTCATGTGAGCACAGAGGTACAGAGAGCAACAGTCTCCTCAAGGAGACTACTCTCATAGTAAAATGAAAGAAAAGACTATATCCCTCTTATAGGAGCCACAGAGAAGATCAATAGTTTCCTGTAATGGTTAATCTTCATGATATCAACTTGAAAGGATCCAGAATCACCATGGAAACACACCTTTGTGGAGTGTCCATGAAGACATTTCCAGAAAGACTTAACTAGGAGAGAAGACCCACCTTGAATGTGGACATCACTGTCCTGAAGGTTGGGGTCCTGGACTGATTACAAAGCAGAGTGTGAGTTTCAGCACTGGCATTCCTGCCTCTGCTTCCTGACCATGGATGCAGTGTGATCAGCTGCCTTGTGTTCCTGCTGCCACCCCTTCCTTGCTATGAGGAACTACACCCTCCAACTGTGAGCTACAATAGCTCTTCCATCCTTAGTGCCACAAGAGGGAGGAAAATAAGAATAGAGTGCATAAGTAAGTAAAAGGATGTTGGTTAGCTGTTGCCAGCACTGTCTGAAATACCAAGAAAATAAACATTACTAGAAACAGTTAATAGATTAAAAATGAGAGAAATTCTACAGTGAAATACAGATCAGTATTCAGTTCACCTCCAGTACGATCAGGGCTGACGTTGGTCAACAGTTACCTCTGAAATCCAGGAGCTTAAGGCTTTTCCTCCACCAGTACTTGCCGTTTTCCATTTGGTTTCTTTCAAAATTACAACATGTTTCTATAAGAACAATCTATTTGTGGATCTATCTAGTTACATAGTAAAGTAGATCATCTCACTCCTTAAAAAGAAGATCAAGCTTAGGGATAGGAGAAAAAGAACTTTTTTAAAAAACATTTTTTTGTCCATTTCTTCTTGTCCTCACCACCCACCCATCAGCTCTCAGTATTCTGACCTCTGAGATCCTGCTGTGTGCGAGCACCGCTCAGGCTCTGTCTTGGCATTCTAAGGGACGTCCTCAAAGGAGTGTGTCTCTGCTCATCCAGGTAAGCAAGATCTTCCAAGTGGGCAGAGCTGGTGGCTAACAGAATAGAAAGAATTTAGTTACCATGTTTAAGTTTAGAAAATATTTTTTTTTATTTAGTTGCTGTCTGGCATACCTTTGAATCAAAGCTTACATGAGCAGAAACTTCCTCCCCAAACAATATATGATTCATTTATTCTATCTTTATAAAACCAAATCTTTAAAAAAAAGATAAACATCATTCTACCTGATTCTTTCAGATAGAACATCACAGATCTGAGGTTCTATTAACAGAGAAATGTATTTCCTATTCAAATAGATGAACAGAAACAAACTAGAAAAGTCTAAAATTATTATTAAGTTGTGGGTAATGGTATAAACAATTTAATATTTTAAAACAAGTATCTAGTCTAATATAAAATGTTACTTGCTTTTAAATGTCTGACTCATGAAAACTACAATAGAAGAAATAAAAGGGAAATTTCGTGATGTTGCTAAAAGAAACAGGTGGACTTCTAAAAATTAAAAGGGAAATAAAACATTGCTTATATGAATGTTTCAACTTGAAAGAAGTATCTGAGTATTGGTTTTATTCCATAAAATACAGTTACCAACTTATCACTGAAGATTGCCATAAATACTGCAAAAGAGAAGAAAGCCCAAGGTTGATATGTTTTACCACAAAATTCCTACACAGTACTTTTTATGTGAGAAATTCTATTACATGTGAGATTTACAGAAGATGATGTGCTATAGTTATTTTGGGAAGAGAAACCTCAATTGAGAAAATTCTCTCGTTAGATTGCCTAGAGCATTTTCTTGATTAAATAATTGATATGGGAAGACCCAGAAAATTGTGGGGGGTGTCATTCCTGGGCAGGTGGTCTTGGGTGGTGCATAAGAAAATAAACTGAGCAAGCCACAATGAACAAAGCAAGCAGCATTCCTCCATGGCCCCTGCTTTGATTTTGCTTAGTAATGGAATGTGTGACCTGAGAGTTGTATGATGAAATGAAACCTCTCCTCCTCATGTTGCTTTTGATCATGGTGCTTTACTATGGCAATGGAAATCCAACTAAGACAGACAACATGGTTGTTTGCCTAGAAAGCTTTACAAGCCACTTTTGCTACCAGTATTACATAGCACCTTATTATAAATGAATAAAAGAAAAAGCAAAATGGGGTAGAGAAAGCAGCCTAGAATTCTCCCAGCTTAGGGAAACAAGTCCATGGACAGAAAGTATAGTAGATCACAGGTAAGCTGTTTACGATGACTGAACTTTGGAAACAGTACTTAGTAATCTTTTCACTAATTTATTCACTCAATAAGTACAACAAAAGTGGAAGCAAAAATGTCAATACTGTTTCCTAATAAAACTTTTGCAATGCTTTTTTTCCCTTTGAGATAAAGTCTCACTATGTAGCCTTGGCTAGCCTGAAGTTGTAGACAACATGATGTCATATACAAAAAACTTCAAGTAGTGTTTTTATGCACTAGTAGCAAATATTCTAAATACAAAAGGAATTAAAAATCAATCTCATTTGTCATAGGTTCAAAGACAACAAATGAAATATCTAAGAATAAATTTTATAACCAAAGAAGTAAAGGAGCTACAATAAAAACTATAAAGGAACTAAAAATGAAAGAGACTAAAAGGAACCCAAAATTGGAACGACATCCTGTGCTCATACACTGTAAGAGCTGATATTGTTAAAAATGTCCATGCTATTAAAAGTAATCTATAGACTCATTGAACCCCTGTCAAAATTCTTCACAAAACACATTATATTACCTGACTTCAAAGTACCCTATAAAGCTGCAGTAATCAATACTACATATCTTGGCATACAGTATTGATGTAGATACATCAGTCAAAGGAACAGAATAAAGACTGAAACCCCCCCCACACACTTTACAATCAACTCATTTTTAGCACAAGTGCCAAGAATACACATCAGGGAGAGGAAGCTTCTTCAGTAAGTGGTGCTGGGAAGCTGGATGTGCACCAGCAGAGAAAATACTCATCATTCACTACATGAGAGAATCAAGTCAAGGTTCCTAATGATGAAATCAGTTGAAAACAACCCTGAATGCCACAAGAATGAAGAAGAGTTTTTGGATAAAAATCAAAAGCACACGAGACAAATAGATTGTATCAAACTCTTCCTGTCACTGGGAGCCTCTCAATTTCCAAGTAATCTTCTTGTCATAGTGTGTCAGTCTTTCCTCTCCCTTTGTCAAAATGAGCTCTGTTTATACTTTCTCTGCTTCACTGAGCTCCCAATCAGATCATGAGCCCAGACTGGCCTCCCTTTACTAAATGGCTGAGGATGGCTTTGAACTCCTGATTTTTTTGCCTCCCCCTCTCAAGTACTTATAGGCATGTGTCTCCACACTAGCTCATGTAATAGGTTGTTTAGAGCAAGTGGTAACATCTCATTTATTTTTGATCACTCTGTCTCTTCAGACAATGAAAGAGTGTCATGAGCATAATGCTCAGTGTACCGCTGACTGACTATCCTTACATTTAGCTGTCTGCTGACTATCCTCAACTCCACCCCATTTTGCCTTAATACTTAACAGACACTACTGAAGGCATATCCTTGGCCTGGTGATATACAGATCTTCTTTCACATAACGCTGATGCTGCTTTTACTTTTTAAAAAATTGAATACCATCTATCATACTATGCAAATTACTTATTATGTTTATTTTTTCCCACTAGAGTGTAAATGGTGAGAGAATCTTTGTTTTGCTAACTGATAATACGTGTTTTGAACAGTACCTGACACATAGTTCATGCTCAATAAATACACAATGACTGCATATTATACATTTTATATCTATATCTTTATCTTGAGTTTCAGGTATATAAATAATCAACAAGCAAATCATGTTCTCGTGGGGAAACAGTGAAGATAACTATAGCAATAATACCATCATCCCATGTCATAATGTCATTTATTTTGCAATTGTACTGGCAAATACTTTTGAGAGAACTATGTCAAGTTAAATTAATATTATAATGTTTAATGAATATTAGCCAAATATATGATAATTATATAAATTCATAAATTCAAGTAAGATGAAGAAATAAAAACTAAATCTGTAATAAAACTTTTTATCATTAATGCTTCTTCTTTTATTTATTAAATTATTTTATTTATTTACATTCCAAAAGTTGCCCCCCTTCCAGGTCCCCGCCCTCGGCTCTGAGAGGGTGCTCCCCCACCTGCCCACCTCATCACCATCAGCATCCCTCTTCCCTGGGACATCAAGTTTCCACAGGATTAAGTGCATCCTCTCCCACTGAGGCCATACAAGGCAGCCCTCTACTACACATGTGCCCTGGGCCACAAACAAGCCCACGTATTTGTCTTGGTTTTTGGCTTAGTCCCTGGGAGCTCTGAGAGGTCCTGGTTAGTTGACACTGTTGTTCTTCCTATAGGGTTGCAATTCCCTTCAGCTCCTTTAGTCCTTCTTCTAATCTCTTCCAGATTTTTAAGTAAAAGAAAAAAACCTCTAGAGTCAATAAAGCCTGTCATTAAAAATTCTGTTTTTATTAGAGAAAGAGGGACTAGGAAAATGAGAAAAAAATGCTAAATTATATATTTTATTAGACTGAAATAGCTGAAGACTATACACTCATAAAGCATTTGATGAATAAAAGTATTTTTTTTTAAAAAGTGAATATAGTTTAAATATATCACATCTGGGCAAAGAAAAAACGTGCAGCAAACGTTTGGTAGAGAGCATTTCAGAAACAACTCCATACTGATTTTAGAAGCCCATTTAGTTATTTCTTTTTATGTCAGTTGCCACTAATGGAAACAGCTCATAGTATTACAGCCAACACTCTTGCTGTGCCTCAACAGGGAGGCTGGAAGGGCACTTCTGTTTCCTACTCTTGGGCAGAAAGTCATCTTTCCTATATTTATACAAATAAAGTCATTATTCTGACTGCTGAAAAACCCCTTTCAATTTTCTATAAAATATGCATTATCGTTTCTAATTAGATTAATTCACATCCCCTTAGGTTTCCAATATGCATTTACCTGCTTAAGGTCTTTCCTTAGAAAATTGTGCTGCTCTAAGTACTAACAAGTGGATAGAGAGAAATTATATTTTTAATGGATTTGTTTCTGTATTTTTCAACAGAACCCTCTTTCCCACACAAAGCACTGATGACAGCTGCTGCAAACACTTCCTGCTTCCCACATACCTCCAAACCATTGCCAATCTCATGTCAAGATACCAAAGATGACCCTAGACAGCCGGCTGATAATTCCAGTTGTGCAACCACAAATCCACAATCTATTTCCTTCTAACACATAAGCTTAAAAAATACACAATAGCAATTCAAATTATTCATGCCATAAAACTCAGAGTTTAAAATTTTAATTGTTTAGAATTTTAATTTAAAGGTATATGAAATCTAAATGTTTATTTAGAAAGTGACTTTAGCTATAGACTGTCACAGTCACCCTCAGTCTGTCACCACTCAGGAAGCACGTGCTCTCTCCCTCTAAGCAACATCCTGAGTTCATCATAAAAATGCTCATGCTTCTAGTAAACAGTACTATCCTTGGTTGTAGATATCCTTGTTTGTAGTCGGCACATTTATTCTCTTAAGTTAAGTTAGTCATCACGTTTCTAAAACTATGTAGCTAAATCTATTTAACCGATATATTTATATTAATAATGCAGCTGATAAAAGACGTATGATTATTTAGGAACTTTATATTTCTTATATATATATATTAGGAGTAGGAGCAAAAAGATTAGAAAAATTAAAATTATATCCCATTACACAATTGCATATGTGCTGACTCTGCTGTCCTTCCAAGTAAGTGTTAAAAACTTAGAACAGTGTGTTGTCTCACAGAATAATTCTGTTTTTCATTTACTTTGAAGTTTCTTTGTTTTTTAAGGCAAGGTCTTCTGTGCCACAGGCTGGCCTCAACCTCACTAGGTAACAGAAGAGACAGCCTTGGTCCTTGCTTCTGCTCTCACTTTCCACTTCTGAGCACTGGGACTACTGGCGTGTGCCATCATGGGTGCTTAGGCAAAAGAAGGTAATTCTCTTCCCAAAGGAGATAAAAATAGATAACATAGCAAGACTCACTTTAGACACTATTTCTGCAGGATTTTAAAAGGTATACGAGTGGTACTTTACCTTAAAAAAAAAAAAAAGACACTGCTTTGCTATGTGTGTCTCCCAGTCTGGTTGCAAACTGACCACTAAGCTGCATTAGCCTCCCAAGTGGATTACAGGTATGAGTCAAGACACTCTGCAGTCAATGCGTTTTTTCACACTGGTGAATTATTTGATCTCTTCATATTAGTCATACTAAGTTTAAAAAAGAAGGGAAGTTTAAAAGCTGGACTGAAACAAAGCCTTTTATTAGGAACATCCATCCCTCTTTTATTCAACTCCTGGGGCTCCTAAGGTTCAGACAATTTAATAAGCATATGGGGAACAAGAGAAGGAAATAGAAAAGGGACAAATATTGTATATTTTCTCTTGTATGCAGACTCTTGATTAAAAATACTTTATATGAAAGCAGAAAGGAGACTATTTTTGGAGATCACAAGCAACAACTGTGAAATGGGGGACATGGGAGGGCAATGAGGAACCAGCATGAGCAAAGTACAACTACACATAATAATATAATGAAATCTATTTTTTGTATGCAATCTAAAAATTTTGGTAAAATAAAGAAGAATATGTGATTTTTTTCTATTTCATAATTGAAAACCTCATTTTTTTTTGGTTTTATGAAAAAAAGTTTTTCTGTGTAGCCCTGGCTGTCCAGAACTGGCTCTGTAGACCTGGTTAGTCTGGAACTCAAGACATTCCCAAGTGCTGGGATTAAAGGCGTGCATTACAACATCTGGCTTCTCAGTTACTCTTGATTATCAAAGATATTTGCCTTCTTCAGTTTGGAGAACCACTTCTCTGCACATATTACACAGTATACAAAAACATGTATGTATATAGACAGAGTTAAAATGTAAAGATGGGACTCTCCTGGGCAAAGAAAACTAACTTAAAATAGGATTAGTTATATTATTATTTAAACTATCACAGTTCTGTGGTTTTATCAGATTCTTATACATTATATACAGCAGGGTAATTCCCTATGAAGGCAACTTTGTTTCCTTACATTTTGGAAACAAATTTACAGTCCATGAACTTTTGAAAATAAATGACTCATTTGTTTCACAGTTCACTTTCCTGTCTCTGTGGGAATAGACTAAAGCCATGGTTTCCAGATACAGAAAACAATGTAAAGCAAAATACTGTCTGACTTCTGATTTGCTCTCTAGGTAACAGTAAACCTGTTTGTAATATATTCAACACTGATTGTAAGAATTCCCTGATTTATCTTATTTTATTTATTATTTTGTATCTTGCTCAACAGTTATGCATACTATTCCAGCAGTGTAAGATCATATTCCTCACATCAACCCATCTGACCTCTAATGGTACATTCATGTTTTCCTTTTTCTTGAATAGTTTCTATTTAATTATTGAGTAATTTATTATGTGTGTGCACAAGCGTAGTCAGAGAATAACGTGGCAGTTTTTCTCCTTTTACCAAGTGAGTCCTATGGATCTAACTAGGTAAATGTAATGCCGATACCAGCTGAGCCATCTCACCTGGCCTTCATTTCCCTTTAAGATGTCTGATCAGTCCTCCCTCAGAAGTTAATGAGATCTACTACCTAGAAAGACTAATGTTACAAATTACACAGCTGTGACCTCCTGGCATAATGATTAAGGATAATGTAATTTTATTTTTGTTATGGGAAGAAGGAAAGGGAAAGGGAGGGAGAACACAAAGGACGTAGAGGAAAAATATTCTCCAACCTTGAGTTAAAACAAACTCAAGTAACATAGAGAAACTAGTGTTATAATATGTAATATAAACAGTTAAAATGATGAAAAAATATCAGCAAGACTACTGCCCACTAAAAATTTTGATAAACTTCAATAAAATTCTAACTTTTGTGCTTTAGATATATTGATAAAGAATGAAGAGGTGCTGCAAAGTGTGAAAATATTTGAGAACACACTTGTGATACAAGTTTTAGTCAGAAAAAAAACTCTTTTAAAATTCACTAAGAGGACAGGCAACTCAATCAAAAACTGTACCAAATATCTGAGTAGAAATTTCAATACTGAAAATGTAAAAGAACTAGTTTAATAAGTTCAGTATTATTAAGCATTAGCATAGTATGAATTAAGGTCACAATCAAATATTACCTCACAGTCATTAATTAAAGTCATAAAGATAAAACAAATGACATTTGTGGAAGGGATGTAGAGAAACAGAAACCACAGTAGTTACTAGTTAGAAATATAAAATGGCACAGCCACTTTGGTTTTTTTTTTTTTTTTTGCTATTAGCAAATTATATCTTATTTATAACTAATGATGAAAAATTACATTGTGTGCAGGTATAAAACAGCATTTAAAAGATTTATTTATACTTTTGTGTTTGTTTATCTGCATGAGTTTATATGTACCGTACACATTTGGTGCTTGAGAAGGCCAGATCCCCTAGAGCTGGAGTTTTAAGAAGTTGTGCGCCACCCAATGTGGGTTATGGGGACTGAACTGAAGTGTCTCTCCAGCCAAAAGATACATCTTTATATATACTCTTGTTCATGTGTCAGCTTGAGTATATTCCAGTTCTCTGTATTATGAATAAAGTTACTGTAAATATTTCTATAAAGATATGTTTTCATTTTTCTCAAGCCAGGCCTAGGAGTTGTCAACGGACCATATTGTAGGCAAACACTGACTTTTCAAAAGATGAACACTTTGTTTTTCAGAGTAGTTATTGGAATTCTGTCAGAAATGCAGGAGAGTCCCAGTAATTTTGTATGTACATCAACTCCTAGAGGGATCAGTCTTTAATGTTGAAAAATTTAAGACGCAGTGGCATCCACTTGTGGTTTAATTTGTAGTTATTTAATAGGTAATGATCTTGACAATTTTTATGGAATAGTAATATAATATGAATATTATGTTTTCTTTTTGTAAAATAGTTATTCAGTTTTTTACAAATAGATTTTTATATAGTACCATTTTATATTTACAGAGAAACTAAGATAAAAGACTAAAAAATTCCAGTATATCATGTGCTTCATTTCACCTTCTGTTTATACTGGTATACTGGATTATACTTTATAAAATACTGTGGCAGGTGCTTAAAATGTTAAATATAAGATCTAACATATGAATGGCTAGTACATCCCTAAGTATCTACCTAAGAGAAATCAAAACATGTCTACAGACTACACATGGACAAAGCAGCACCATTAGCTACAGAAATAATCTGACTACCCATCAACCAGTAAGCCAGACGGTTCATGAGGCTCTTATTGTTCACAGATCTTCTGAGTAGGTGTTAGGAAATCTACATTCGACTTTAATAGCAACAGTGAATGACATCGCCATCACTGATGTGCAATGATTTTAGTCCCATTACATTTCCATCAGTGTCATTCCTTCTAATTGTGTGGCTATGATTTTAAGTGGCATTTCATGATCATGGATGGGTGAAGGATTTCATAATTCACCCTACTGTTTAGTGAGCCTGGATGGTAGAAGTAGATATGAAACTTCAGGGTCAGAAATGCAAATTTATCATTCAGGACAAAAGGAGGAAGCAGAAGACATATTTCAATTCCCTGAATACCAACTTCTACAGGGCAACATGAAGAGGGCTGGGTGATATATGCAATCCTTTACATATAAGTTTGCTGTCACTATATAAAAGTGAAGAATCTTCTAGATGATCCATTTCTTCACCATCATACCTGACGACAGATGTTGATCATTTCCCAGAGATCAGAACCAAAAGAGCAGGTAGGAAAGGGAAATGAGTAGCAAGAAGCCAGCACCAACATAAGGAATCATTTCATTTTTGGTTTATACTAGGACCTTGTATATATGCACCTCATACTGGTCTGGAACTTACTACATAGCTGACATTGGCCTACAATTCCTGACCCTTTTTGTCTCCACCTCCAGAATGCTAGGACTATAGGTAGGTACTATCATACATGGCTGCATAACAAATAATTATCCCTGGAAAGTAAGTCTAATAACAACAAATATTTTATTATCCTATATCATGAAGTATATCTGTCCAGGCATTCATTTTGAGAGTCAGAAAGGCAAATAAAATTTTTATTTTGTAGTCTGGGCAAAGTGATAAGGAGGACATATCTTGAAAATGTCAGGATGGCTATTCTGTAAAACTCCTGTTTGAATAATTAAATAGCAAAATAGCTGTATTAAAAACATCCTTGATGCCACTGCTGTGTAGCTGCTGAGGAAAACGGACTCAGTGTTTCAGTTACTTATCCTCCTGTATCATTCTTCTGTGACTGATCCTGCTACTGGCATTTGAGCTGGGAATTAAAGGTGCCTGATCTTCTATACTATGATGGCAAGAATTGTGTGAGACTACTGAACTGGGAGAAAGAAGCTGGGTTTTCTTCCTGCTTGTTTGTTATACCTTCAAACAATGGATGATGACTTCTGATAAACAGACTGCACCAACATAAGCTTCAATTAATTAATGGCTATTAAAACTCAAGTTCTAAAAAGCTAAACTAAATTCTTTTTTTGTTGAAATACTAAGTATTGAACTCAGTATCTTATGTATGCTATGTAAATGTCACACCACTGGGCTACATACCCAGCCCTTAAAATTTTTACAAACAAGACTGGCTAGTTTATATACTTGATCGGCCATCTCTCTGGTTTCATGTGAGTTTCAGTATATTATGGGAAGTGAACTAGGAAGCACTTGATGAAGAAGATGAATTTTCTCTTAGGTTACACAAAAGCATGACTTGTCTTATTTTTATTCATTATATATTAGTAAAACTGTCTTATAAAACCAAAACAAAGCCCAACTTACCTGCTACAGAATTTGGTCGAGGCATGAGATACAAAGGAATAGACTGCACTGACTGCGATAAAACTGTTTCCAAATTCCGCTCTGGGATCTTATTCAGACTGTATGTGGACGCAGCCATGTTTTCATCCACTCGGTACAGACAGGAGTCCATGCTGGATTTTTGAGACTGCCATGGTTTTAGGTTTCCTCCAGATCCTAATTCTTTACTACCTTCCCCAACATATTTTGTTCGTTCCATGTTTTCAGAATAATTTGTTAATGTTGCTGAAAAAAAAGAATAAAACGAATGTTTTTTAAAAATCAAAAGAAAAGTTAACTATTAAAATTCACTAGTAGATGAGAATATGACTAATACTATCTTTCAAAGTTACTACAACCACTTATCTCTACAAATTTAAATAACTGAAACCATCAACAATCTTAACTTACATATATTTTTAACACTTTATTTAAATGAAACAAGCAAATTCATATACTGGTGCCAACAGACCTAGAACAAGTCTTATCAAAGATAAAATTTTAGAATTATTCAAAAGGTACTTACATATTTTTACGGACTGTCAGAGAGCACCAACAATCGCTCCAAAACTCTCTCTACTCTTCTTATCTCTTTATTTTCCCTAGTTATTCCCTCATGTTTACACACACACACACACACACACACACACACACACACACACACAACAACAACAACAAAAACACACACACCACTACCACCACCAAAACCAAAACATATGATCAAAATAAACAGTAACTAAATAGAAATTAATACAGTAGAAAACTCCTGCTCAAACAAGGAAGAGGCCTTTCCTATACAGTTCCTCTCGGTTCTAATCCTTTGGATTACTTGTAAGTGGCTTGCTAAAGAATAATGATTTTAATTAAACCAAAACCTGAAAGGTCTTCTAGAATTTATCTAATCTTCCTAATAATTATACACAAATAGAAACATTTTCATAACTCCAGAAATGAAGAGATGAACAACAGTAAAGTCTAAATTATTGAATTTTTGGAAATAACTATAAAAGAATAAGAGATATCATCCCAGGAGAAGTTTATACTTAGTTCATGTTCTCCTCCTATAATTTGAATGTTTCTATTGCCAAAGAAAAGAAATAAACTTTAGAAGATTATTTCTATAATCCTATTTAATGATGTTTTCTTTCTGTAAATTTAAGTGGATCTCTAGATTTTGTAGTACAAAGGAAGATGAATTACAAAATAAAATCTAAACTTTTCTTTAAGGAAAAAAAAGAGAGAATTTTTTTTCACCATACAAAGGAAAAGGATCTAGAAAAAGGAATTTATCTAGACAAGGTAAAGAGAAAAGAGACAACTCAGAATTGAGAGAGGCGTGAGAGGGGTGGCAGGGTCTGCAACCCCAACATCTGGAAAGTCATGGCAGATGACTACAAGTTCACAGCCAGCTTGGGCTACACAGTAGGCTAGCCTACTCAACACAAACGGAAACAAAACTAGAGATGAGGCAGACCATAGAGCTCTAGAGCCCCTCAGGAGAAATGAAATTAGAAATAGCATTGAACATTTTTGGGAACCTGTAAACTTTGGAAATCAATTCCCATATTTTGTACCTTTTATTTCCTGCACAGTAATCAGCTATAAAAACTATAAGAAATGGACAATTTATGATCACCAAGGGCAGGTAGCTAACTAAATGAAGCAAAAAAAAAAAATGTGTTCCTGTATCTTGGACAGTCTTTGTAAACACGGATAAACCAAGGTGAGCAGAAACCAAGACTAAAGCAGGTGGTGGCAACCGTGACAAAGAAACCACTGTGCAACCAAGACATTCTTTCCAAGGAAAAACATGAAAAACAAATCAGGGACTAAGAGAACTCAGGGGCCTACGACGTAAGGAAATAATACCCAGAAGAGTTCAGATGTGTATTAGTAAAACTACTTAAGCTTTAATAATGTAAGTAATTACAATAAATTCATATTTAGTACTTTGTAACTTTTATTTTTTGGGTGTAGTAGTGAGGATTAAATCCAAGTATATGTTCTATCACCAAATTACACCCAGTTCTACTTATAACTTTTAAATTGTGTAAATGCATATTCCATTTGGTTATCTAAGTAGGACTGGTGTTACTATCCTTCAATGCACACATGAAGAAATGATTCCTGGCAAAATTAGGCATCTAACCCATGGTTACTAAAAAGCAAGAACCTTTCAGGTAAGTATCTGGAGCCTTAACCACTTACTAACAATGTAGCAACTCTTGATTCCTGCACTAGATTGTACATTTCTAGAGGGTAACTACTATACTTTCAGAGTTTTATTTTCATATTTAAATTAAAAAGCTTAGTATCATGGAGTTGAAGAGATGATTCAATGATTAAGAGCATGGTCTGCCCATAATTATAGAAAATCTGGGTTCCATCCCCAGTACCTGGAGTTACATACATGATAGCTTACCAATGTCTAAAGCTCCAGACTTAAGAGCATCTGACACTCTCTTCTGGATACCCAGGCACATATATGAAACACAAATATACATGAAGGCAAAAAACCAATGCACAGAAAAATAAAGAAACCAACCAAACAAATGACTTAGTGATAACTCTATAATTCCACTTGAAAAAAGGAGAAAACACGTGAGAGACATAGGCCAACATACTACCCCATCTACAAAAAACACAGAGAAACACTCAGCAGTGAACTCTATTTCTGGCTGTGCTGCTCTGGCAGTTTTAGAGGATGCTGCAAATGTTAACAAGATGCAGAAAATAAACAGGCTTATTCTTCAGTGCAATTTCTATAGTACTTATACTAAAAATATTTTTACCTAGGGAATAAATATATATGTTACATGGGTAAGCATTTAAGCAAAGAAATGATTTTGCAAAAAAACTCCAAAGTATAAGAAGACATATTTTAGTCATATATAAGTAAAGTTCTAGAGTATAGAGTATGTTTGAATGTCAATACTAGTAAGTGTTCACATATCTCCAATACTATGCTATCTTCTTTCAGGTATTTTAAGACTTGGTAAAGATTGTTTAATTTTTGTTAGAGAAGCAAGTGAAAGAGATCAATTGGGCTTCCATTTTAAGGCTATTGCCAAAAAATTAAATAGACTGAACTTGCAGCTTTTGAGAAGGTGGCCTTCTCAATAATACTCCAGGATTTCAACAAATGAGAACATTTATTGATATGATTCTTTCCCAGCTCTCAGCCACTCTAGATAACAATTTCACACTTGCTAAATTTAGTCACTAGTTTTGACTAATTTAGACTAGTTGGCAAATTATATGATTTTATTCCTGTTTTCCATTGAATACGTTTCCACATTTTCTATAGATCATATTTTCCTTAATTATCTACTGATGGGCATCTAGGCTAGTTCTATTTCCTGGTTACTGAAAATAGTCCTAAAACACAACATAGACATACAAGTATTTCTGCAGCATGATGACGGACTCTTTTGGGAATCTAGGAGTGTGGTAACTAGATCAGATGGTAGCTATATTTTTAGTTTTTGAGAATATTCCATAATGATTTCTATAGAACTTACTTGTATTTTGAAAATTAAATACAAGTTGGTTTTATTGAGTCAGAATCAGTAAGTACAAAGTGAATTAAACAACTCACATGAAGTATCAGAAGGCAAATTCTTTGAACAGCTATTACCACTTAAAATTTCAACCATTTTTCACTTATTGATGCTGCTTTCCTATTTGTGTAATATTTAATGTATTTTAGCTATTTACCTATCCAATGAGTAGTTAGTGTCTAACTAAGTAGTATGTGTTAAGATACACTGGTGCAAAATACAAATGTTTAACCTCAGAAGGGCAACTCTGTGACAAAGAGATCATGCATTTAAAAAGTTAAAAATAAAATGTTATTTACAGCATCATGGAACCTTAATATTCAACTATGCTATCATAGAAACAGGTATAATTTAAAGTCATCACATTGACTGAAGCAGAGAATGCAATGATTTTAAATATTGCCACTTAAAGTTACACAGGTTCAAAGCTCACCTAATAACATGCCACTTAGGTTGGTTTTTTAGAAAGTAAACATCTGTATGTGCAACATTTCTAGAAGTGAAGTTTGAAAAGAAACACTACCCCCTCCAAGGAAATATGTATATAATTTTTTCCACTATTCCTAAAATATCTTTCTGCTTTTTCTAATACTCTCAGGTAAAACAAAGAATAGTGGGAAGACAGTTCCAAGTAAATATAAGATTCCCCCTCATCAAGATTGTCTCCAGCTTTCTTCAATGCAGAATAAAGTACCATTTCAAATAAAAACTGCTTCTACAGCATGTTTATGTACATTACTGTTTATGTGTGGAAGGGAGGTATGAGGATTTCTGAATTATAGTCTTACGTACAGGTTTGTTACAAATAAAATCACCTCTATATTTTGAGACAGACTCACTGAGATGTAACTTGTATACCATAAAATACACCCACTAAATTATACAATCAATGTTTAGTAAATTTATAGGCTGATAAAATTATCACTATAATTCAGTCTTAATCATTTCTACTAACCCACAATTCTTTTGTACCTGCCTGTAGTCTAACTGTTCTCACTTTAGTCCTACAAACTACTAATTCAATCAATCAATCTCTATGGGCAATCTACTAGGGAGTGCATCTCTGAAGAAAATTGACTCTTCCTCCCCTATAACCATCAACTGTCAATAGCTTCTCAGTTATGGGTATGACTTTGTGAACCCCTCTCAGACTCACGCTGAAAATTTTGGATGGCTTAATCTTGTGTTTTAGGCCAGAGTCTCATTCTGTAGCCCAGACTGATCTCAAACTCATGGCAACCCTCTCGCATTGTGGTACATACTTGTAATTCCAGCACTCATGAGGCAGGAAGATCATGAGTTCAAGGTCACTCTTGGCTGCATAGCAAGTCCTAAACTAGTCTATAAGAGACTACATCTCCAAAAACAAAAACAAAAAAGTTTAACTTTGCAAGAAACAGCCAAATTACTTCCCCAAATAACAATAACATTCCTATGGGTAATGTATAAGTAATGATGTACATTATGGTATTATCATATTTGGATTTTTTCATTTAACAGCCATTCTGTGGCTTTGGAGCAGTATTTAATTATGATTGGTTTGTACTTCCCTAGTAATCACTAGGGATAATGATGTAATGATAATAAGCACTTTTCTGGGATTATTAACCATTTACCTATAGTTTGTTTGGTGAAACATCTATTTAAGTCTTTTGCAGATTTTAAAACTTGTTGTGTTAATTATTT